GAGGATGGGGACATGGTGGCCATAAAGGGATGGACATGGTCAGAAACAATGCTCAGGTAGGCCGTGGCATTTAAACGATGCCCAATTGGCACTAAGGGATCTAAAGTGTGCCAAGAAAACATCCCCCACACCATTACACCACCACCACCAGCCTGCACAGTGGTAACAAGGCATGAAGGAGCCATGTTCTCATTCTGTTTATGCCAAATTCTGACTCTACCTGTAACCGCTAAGCTTAAAACAGCCGAGGGTTATGCAGAGGGTTGAAGTTGGCAATAGTTGACGCGCTTACCGTGGTCGCTTTGGCTTGATTGAGTAATGATACAACAAGCTTAAAGTTCTCTTTTCTTCTCTGTTGTGAGAGATGTTTATTCAGGGTTCCCAACCCTTGGTTAGCTTCAAATTCAAGGACCTTTCAAGGACTTTCCAGGTCCAATACTCTCAAATTCAAGAACTTAATGTGGGACACATGTGTTGTGTCCAATAACAAACGTTGGGATACCATCGTAGTAGTTTTGTGCGTGAACATCATGGCAATGTACAACACAAAGTACCTCACGCAGGAAACACAACGTCACGCGTAAATGTGCGTAACTAACATAAATGAAGAAAGCTATTATAGGCCACGAAGTGTTGGCGAAATAACACATTAGCGGACCAGAGGGAATAATATGGATTTTTTTTCCAGAAAATGTTTTGCACAAAATTAATTCAAGCACTTTCAAGGCCATTTTTTCTATATATGTTTATTTTCAAAAACTTTCCAGGGCCTTGAATTTTTTGTCTTCAGATTCAAAAACTTTCAAGGATTTCAAGGACCCGTGGGAACCCTGTTTATTGGATTTCCTTTTCCATAACAGAACAATATTCCATCTTCACCAATAGTCACATAACAAACATTCAACCACAGCCTCGGTGGTGGTCAAAAACTAGTTTGCCCTTTAAGTAGATGAGCCCCAATTGCTAAGTCATAACCCTAGTGCCACCTAATGGTCAAACCTGGACAGGACATTGAAATGGCTCCTACACTACCATCTGAATGTCTCAACAGAAATCAAGACTCATCAGACCAGGCAAGATTTTTCCAGTCTTGGAAAGATCTTACAAACTGTAGCCTCTTTTTCCCATTTGTAGTGTAGATGAGTGGTACCCGGTGGGGTCTTCTACTGTTGTAGCCCATCCTCCTCAAGGTTGTTTGTGTTGTGGTTTCACAAATGCTTCGCTGCATACCTCGGTTGTAACGAGTGGTTATTTCAGTCAAAGTTGCTCTTCTATCAGCTTGAATCAGTCGGCCCATTCTCCTCTGACCTCTCGCATCAACAAGGCACTTTCGCTCACAGGACTGCCGCATACTGGATGTTTTTCCCTTTTCACGCCATTCTTTGTAAACCCTAGAAATGGTGCGTGAAAATCCCAGTAACTGAGCAGATTGTGAAATACTCAGAACGGTAATAATAGTTCACCTCTGGCCAACGAGCGAACAGTGTATGATTATGATTCAGGCATTACAGGTCAGAGGTCAGATTGGATCAGGTTGGATTCATCTGGTTGGAAGTCGGAGTCACGCCGGTACGGAGACGAGTGTGTTGAGTGTCAGTGCCGATGAGGCCTTACAACAGAAATGACCCATCACTGAACTTACCTCAGCTGCACTGTATTTCCTCTAGATCTGCTGTACAGCAGAAACAAACTCTGTTGCAGTATTTTCCTGTTATCTCTGTAAAGCTGCTTTGAAACGATCTTGTAAAAAGTGCAACATATATAATAGGTGACTTGACTTGACTATGCATGCACCAACATGCATCTCAGAACGATCTACACAAACTACACATCCCCAGCATGCTTTAGTAACAGTTTCATATTAAATTTAAAGGTGGAATCTATTAGACGGCGACTGTCAAATGCGGCTTTATCAAGCTCAACAGCTATTGGCTATTTTTAAAAGGGGAGGAGCTGTTCAATATGCCCCGCCTTCCTTTTTCAGTGGAAGTGCGTCTCCACATTGGAAAACACGTTTCAAGGAGCGCCAGTGGGCCTTTAACTTATGGTGCGTTCTACCCAACGAACCGACTCGGACCTCGGATTTGACGTCACGTCCACACTTCAAGCGTTCTATTATGTTTTGCTTGTCCGAGTCAGAGAAAGCTGTTGTAATGGTAGCACTGGCCGAGTACCAGGCACTTACATTAAAATAAAAATATTATGACTACACCTTATCAAAACGCAGACATTTGAACTTGAAAATGTTCACTTTATTTAAAGTTTGTCATGTTAATCTTCTGTTAGCAACGCTAGCAACGTTAGTAATTGCACTCACAACAACCGATTCCCATACCTACAGGGGACGCAGTAATACGAGTGATTATAATCGTCATTTAAAATACCAAAGTGGTTCAAAAACAATGAAAACAATTCATTCTTACAAGTCACAGGGCGCAGCCATCTTGAATTCCGAAACGGAATTCTTGCTCGGTGTCCTGACGGTTGTCCGACGTCCGAGAGGAGAAATCCGAGGAAAGGGGGCGTGTTTCTAGGCAACGTCTGCCGTCCGATTCTGATCTCCGAGACGGATGAATAATAGAACGCACCATTTGGACAGGGTGGCTACAGGTATAAACAATTTCAATTTAAAGGAGAACCCTGGCGAACAATGAACCTTTGGTCTAATAAAACATCGACACCTAGTCAATCGTTCTCTGAGTTTTGTTTTCATGATAATCGAATGTAAAGAGTTTTATCTCTAAAAACTGTTTAGCGTATAATGCTACCCAGATAGCAAACTGACATTGAATCAACGTGGAAATATGACATCGAAACAACGTTGATCTGACATTGTTTTGCTCATCGAATTAACGTTGAACCAACGTCAGACGCGTCATTCTTTCAAAACTAACGGAAAATCAACTTGAAATCAACGCGTTGTTTCAACGTTATGAAAGCAAACCAATTTTCGATTTTCATTTAGCTTTGAAGAATGCCGCGTCTGACGTTGGTTCAACGTTAATTTGATGAGCAAAATCAACGTTGTTTCAATGTCATGAGAGACGTCGTTTCCACGTTGATTCAATGTCAGTTTGCTATCTGGGTAGTAATGGGGGCATTGACTAAGTAAAAAGAAATCGCTAGTTTATACCACTAACAAGGCTCAAAATAGCCCCACACTCACACAGTAACATAATGAGGCTCCATACATACAAAACGAAGCATTCAGAACTTTGTAAGTGTACAGACCGTTTAATAAGAAGATACTTTATGAAGACAGTTCACTTCGCGTATACAGACAGGAGCCATCTTAAAAAATAGTCTCGATAAGTCAAACCACGAACGCCGCTCATACAGTTCAGAAGTTCGCTGAACTTCATACAGTTCAGATCACTCAGCACGACGTTCGTGGTTTGACTTATTGAGACTATTTTTTAAGATGGCTCCTGTCTGTATACGCGAAGTGAACTGTCTTCATAAAGTATCTTCTTATTAAACGGTCTGTACACTTACAAAGTTCTGAATGCTTCGTTTTGTATGTATGGAGCCTCATTATGTTACTGTGTGAGTGTGGGGCTATTTTGAGCCTTGTTAGTGGTATAAACTAGCGATTTCTTTTTACTTAGTCAATGCCCCCATTACTACCCAGATAGCAAACTGACATTGAATCAACGTGGAAACGACGTCTCTCATGACATTGAAACAACGTTGATTTTGCTCATCAAATTAACGTTGAACCAACGTCAGACGCGGCATTCTTCAAAGCTAAATGAAAATCGAAAATTGGTTTGCTTTCATAACGTTGAAACAACGCGTTGATTTCAATTTGATTTTCCGTTAGTTTTGAAAGAATGACGCGTCTGACGTTGGTTCAACGTTAATTCGATGAGCAAAACAATGTCAGATCAACGTTGTTTCGATGTCATATTTCCACGTTGATTCAATGTCAGTTTGCTATCTGGGTAGCATTATACGCTAAACAGTTTTTAGAGATAAAACTCTTTACATTCGATTATCATGAAAACAAATCTCAGAGAACGGTTGACTATGTACCGATGTTTTATTAGACCAAAGGTTCATTGTTCGCCGGAGTTCTCCTTTAAGACTTTTTAATACCACTTCTAAATTAAATTTAAGACCAAACTTACGATGGAAATATAAATTAAAACTGAAAATATACAGTAATATTTCCAAGTAAACACACTGTCTGTTCAAAAATATGGTGAAATGACAATAATCAATTGTCAATTCCGTACGTGCGGTCGCCTGTGGTGGAGTACAGTGGAGTGAAAAGAAACATAGAATAATAAAAATAATAAAGTATATTAATAAAGGCTTAGATTTAATTTACTAATAAAGGCATAGAACCAGTTTATTTATAGTGTACTGATAATAGTTTCATAAAAAAAAAGACTGAGATATGTTTGGTTATTGTACCTTTTAATGAATAAATTAAAATTAATTTGCTATATTTCAGATCAATATATTTATTTTCCTCAATTTTAATTAACCCTAACTTTATTCTCATCATAAGAATTATAAATAATTGATTTCCATATAAAATAATACTACAACATTTTTTACAGTCTATGGTCTCTACACACAGGTTACGTTAACGTTACCTTGTAGAAAATATTCGACCTGGCTGGCAGAACGATTGCCTTTGCCTGCATCTTTGCGGTGACACATGACTAACATATTTAAGACCTATCCAATCTGAATTTAAGACTTTTTAATACTTTTTAAAGTACACCCTGTGAACGCAGTCTCCACCCGCCCTTGATTCTTTGAGGCATTTGTGTATGTTTTAGTCCTGCACTGTAAAGCCCCATTATTTCTATCTCTGGTGTATGAAGAATTTTTATTTGTGTTTTACAAAGGAAGAGAATTAATAGGTTGCTTTTTTAATCTTCAAACAACATTATTAACTAATCGAAATTTGACGATGTAATGTTATCAAAAACATAATTGTATGGTGAAACATCACACCATTAAAAGAGTTGAACAAATCCTCCTCGTGACAATATCATTCAAGTGACTTTAATTGCGTCACACAACTTTCAGCATGCGAAATCCAACAATGGTAACAACAATCAAATACATTTTGCTAAGACGAACATCTCTCCCACTTCCACACGTTAATGTTGATGACTTAATAATATCGTAAAATGTGGGAAATATTAATTAAAAAGCAGGTGTGTCTAATAATAGGCAAACTACCTCTAAGATTAAAAACAAAACTGTCCTTACACGTAGAGGATCAAATCAGACAGGTGGAAGTGAACAAACATGGGTTAAGGACAAAGGTGATGTTAAAATGAAAATTTAATCATTACATGGATATGCCTAAAGAGTTGTAATGTAATGGAAACAATAGTTTGCATATAAAACTTGATGAGGTCCTGCCCAAACAACTACATCTACTTCTTCTATCATCTCCCAAAATAGTCACGTTTTCAGCAGCAATGCTGGTCTTCAAGATGCACTAAGGAAAAGGCAAACAACACAGGAAATAAGGCACAGGAGCTTGACCAATCAGTTCTTCAGACCCGCGTCTGTTTCTCCACATTCTCAGAGACTAGTGCGTCTAGTGTAGTCGTTGTGATAACAGAATAGGGTTGAGTATTTCTGGCACTTCCAGGGTTAATTAAATCTGTTAGGCTCATCCAGATTGAAATGGTTACACTCATATTCACCCATAATTAAAAAAATAATAATAAAAATAATGGGATAAGAGATAAAGACATTAAAATGCTTAAGAGAACTACAAAAAATAAAATAAGTGTGATCCTCTGAAGGTTTCCAAAATATTTCGGAAATTAACAGGAAATCATCAAATATCAGTTAAAATCTCTACAGGAAGAACTGTTTTTCAGTGAGTTAAAGTTTCTTCATGCTTACAACCCATCCCATTACAAAGGTCCATGCATAAAATGTGTTCGATTAGTAAGTTTTCACTATAAAATGAGGGAATGTGTGTCAAGTGTTTTCTTTTCTTAGACAAACGTCAGAATGATGACGGCAAAACACATATAAACTCTTCCTTATAAAAACCAGCAGGAATGTTGCGGGTGCTTTAACTCCAGACGTCCTGTGAATATCGTCCTTTAGTCATCAGTTTCTTGATGTAATCTACAGCCTGAGCGCGGCTCATTCCTCCCAGCTCCTCTGCGATCTCGTAGAAGGCGTTCTGCACGTCCCGGGCCATGTTTCGGGCGTCTCTGCGGGGGAAAATCAAAATCGGCAAAATTAGAGCAGTTTCAGGGGTGCCTCGGTCTCATGATGTCTCGGCATGCGTTCGATTTTTCGGACTCGTTCGGTATACGCACCCACAGATGTAGATGTGGGCATTGTCTGTGTGGATTCGTTTCCAAAGACCCTCCTTGTTGTTCTTCAGGAGATGTTGTACATACACCTGGGTGTGAATACAAAATAAAGTAAGTGATGCAAAGAATGGTTAAACAGTTCATAAAAACAGATAAGCTCACCCTTTTCCCATGATTCATTCAGAGATGCATTAAAGGAGTAGTTCACTTTTAAAAAACTTTTGCTGATAATTTACTCACCCCCTTGTCATCCAAGATGTCCATGTCTTTCTTTCTTCAGTTGAAGGTTTTTGATGAAAACGGTTCAAGGTCCAAATGAGAGTATCAGTGCAGCTTCAAAGGGCTTTAAATGACACCAGACGATGAATAAGGGTCTTATCAAGCGAATTTAAGAAATAAATAAATAAATAACAAAGTTTAAGTTTTATAAGCACAAATGCTCGCCTTGCTCTGTTCTGTGATGCACGTTTGTGACCCTCCTGTTCAAACTCGTTCATCAAAATGAACAAATCTTTTTTCGAGTCATAACTCGAAGGGTCCTAGACAAGACCCTTATTCATCGTCTGGGGTCGTTTAAAGCCCTTTTTAGCTGCACTGAAACGCTCATTTGGATCTTGAACCGTTTGGTTCCCATTGAAGTCCATTATATGGAGAAAATCCTGGAATGTTTTCATCAAAAACCTTCATTTCTTTTCGACTGAAGAAAGAAAGACGTGGACATCTTGGATGACATGGGGGTGAGTAAATTATCAGCAAAAGTTTTTTTAAAAGTGAACTACTCCTTTAATGCCATGCCGTTTATAGCTTTTGATTAAATATAAGATGGTTTCAGAGAGGAAGTGTGGATTTTTAAAAAAAATATTTTGTCTCTCAATCACAAAAATAATGTTACCAAAGTTTTTTAGGGAGACACATTTGATAGTGGGCCAAAATAACTGTAGAGGTGTGTGTGTGTGTGTGTTACGGTACCTTCTGCGCCTGGTCTCTGGAAAAAGCTACATTGAGTGCCGTCAGAACACCAGTCTTCTCAAACCCCTCGAGCTCCTCTTGGTACAGAAAGTCCTCGTTCTTGCGACGACAGCCAAAGTACAACTCGGTCTCTCCAACTTCCTTACCTGCAAACGGGAAATCAAGTTGTTGATTGCATGAGGGTTACAAACGTAGGGATTTGCACATAACTTCCCAATTCCCATTGTTTTTGAAACTAGTGTAGTGGGTAATGCAGATCCTAATGCTACGTTCACACCGGACGCGAATAGGGCGTCAGGCCCGAATGATTTCAATGTTAAGTCAATGCAAAGACGCTTTACGCACGTGAAAAATTCCTGCGGCGCGAATGAGGCGTGGAGCGCGGCGCGGAAGGCGCGAATACGCCTCATTCGCGCGTCAAGTTGGCGCGAATTGAGCGTTGTGCATTCACGCGTTTGACGCGAATTCGCGTCTGCCGCCCGAGTTGAAAAATCTAAACTTTGGCATGAATTTGCGCCGCGTTAACCAATCAGGAGCCTAGCTGCTTGCTCACGTGGTGAAGTGTCTGGATGCTTCAATAAATTATTTTGTATATGACTAATGCATGGTGGGATTATGCACAACAAAGCAAATGTTTCATCACTTAAAACATTATTTCTATATACGAGACATGTTCATTTTGTATTGAATGTTATTCATTCCATATCTAGAAATATTATTATGTTGTAAAGACAATAAACATATGTGCATAAATTCGTGTCTGGACGTGAGAGAGAGAAAAAAAATCACAGGACAGGTTAATAACTTTTGAAGGCTGGCTCTATTTATCATCAAAACAAAAATAAATGACAGCTAGATTAGATGGATGAGGGCGAGGGTGATCCTCGCTCAGATGCGGGACAACAGGTCATCAAACTGGGCGCGGGACAGGCGGAAGTACCGCTGACAGCGGCCGTCATCCAGCGCAGCTCCTGGAGCGAGCAAATGGTGAAACTCGCGAATTAACACTAGTGGTCAAGCGTCAAACTAGACGCGTCAGGCGCGAATTTGACGCGCGATTCGCGTCCGGTGTAAACGTAGCATGAGAGTCCCAATCAGTGTTGGGGTGAAACATCACAAGTAGCGCCAGTTACACAATCTGATTACTTTTTCGAGTAACTAGTAATGTAACATTACTTTATAAATGTTCAAATAAGTGACGCATGTATTGACCGCCAGCTCTCCTGTCCCCATGTTGAGAGAAACCAGGAGTAAGTGCAGAGCTGTGTGAACATGATGATTCCTGTAGGCATTTACTCCTTAAAATGAACAAAAACACTGATATGCAAACCTGCAAATTAAATATGTTAAATAATCAAATGTTAAATTATTAAACAAATATACTTTATGTATATGATCTCACAAACAGATAAACATCACATTACATTACTTTCCCAAAAAATAACAAAGTAACTTTTTACTTTTTACGGAAGTAATGCAATATTGTAATGCATTTCCCAACTATAAAAAGTACATAAAAAGATAATACGTCCCTAAAATCAAATGGTTATATTTATGCTCTTAATATATGCAAGTAAATATAGTTGTTAAACAAGTATGTATGAATCTGTCACTGCTACCAATGCAATTCTATATGGGTATTGTAAATGAAACTGGTAAATGTGGAATATTACAATGATATACTGCACATTATTGTTATGTTTGGGCTTCTCTCTTTCTAAAATAGTTAAAGAGCGGACAGGGAAAGTAAAGAGGGACCTGTGAACTCTTCACATCACACCTAGACTGTGCCTCTCTGTAGATTGAACATGTGCTGTGTTTTTACATCAACGTCTGGGACAAACTTAAATGAATCATTTGAAGAACAAATGCAACAACTTGACCGGAAAAACTACACATTTCTGAGAGTGGAGTTACAAGATACAGGAGAAGTCCTGATGTGACATTACAGTTATTAGATCCGTGCATTGGGTAAACTCGTACAACAGTGGCCGTCTGTGTCATTGATGGTAATCAAATAACAAGAGAAGACCACTCACTGCACGTAAAGGAATAATTGACTTAAAAATGAGCAGACTTCCATAGTCTTTTTCCCCTACTTTGGGAGTCTATTAGTTGGGGGCCTTAAGCACATTTTCGCGCAAATTCATCTAAAAGGACCAAATTTGGCACAGATGTAGCTCAGGTCATACCGAAACGATTTAGCTAGGGCGCCGGAGCCAGCGACCCTCGGGACCAAGATGGCGGCCAAATCCAATATATGGGATCCATCAACTGTCTGGTGGTTACCACAATCTTCAAACTATCTCCTTTTGTGTTCATACAGGTTTGAAACAACGTGAGGGCGAGTAAATACAAAAATATAAATGAAGTGAACTATTCCTTTAACTCGGTGACTTCAGTAGCTAACATCCGTGCAGTGTTTAAAACTCACCTGGGCTACTGTGTGTGAAAGACATATATGGAAAACAGACACATGCTGTATATCATGCATCTGATTTCTGCACATAGTAAGCAAATCAATTAGAACAAAAGTTAAATGCGATTACTTCAGTTGTTGCGTTGATTTTGAACACATTTAGGAGAATGTCTCCGCCTCCATTGCCTCTTCTGATCGTAATAAGCACACAACAGCAGAAGTCCGTGAACTGCGCGACTCCTACCTTGTTCTTTGAGCCAGCCGCGCTCCTGAACGAAGCCAATGAAGGGTGCGATTCCAGTCCCAGGTCCGATCATTATGACTGGGTTTGTGGCCTTGAAGGGCAGGCGGAACTGGGATTTGCGGATGTACATGGGCACTGTAGCCTTGTGTCCGTTGTCGGTGGGCATCTTGTTCTTCAGCCAGTTCGTGGCCACTCCTTTATTCACACGGCCAGTCTTGGTCTCATACTCCACCACTACAGCACAGATGTGGACGCTGTTGGGGTGGACCTGTGTCACACGCAGCAAACATTTAAACACACACAACATACAAAGTCAATTATTTCATTTTAAAGAGACCCTATTAACACTATAAAAAATAAAAATATAACAAACACTATATTTCTCTCATATGCACTGCATATGAAAACGCTTCATTTGAAGATTCAGTCTCTCTAAACCCCTCCTTTCAGAGGGTCTACTCTGCTCTGATTGGTCAGATGGCCCAGTCTGTTGTGATTGGTCAACTGTGCTCTACTCTGATTGGTCAGATGGCCCAGTCTGTTGTGATTGGTCTTCTGTGCTCTGATTGGTCTGCTGTGCTCTGATTGGTCAGATGGCCCAGTCTGTTGTGATTGGTCTACTCTGCCCTGCTCTGATTGGTCAGGTGGCCCCATCTGTTGTGATTGGTCTACTCTGCTCTGATTGGTCAGATGGCTCAGTCTGTTGTGATTGGTCTACTCTGCTCTGATTGGTCAGATGGCATCGTCTGTTGTGATTGGTCTGCTCTGCTCTGATTGGTCAGATGGCTCAGTCTGTTGTGATTGGTCTACTCTGCTCTGATTGGTCAGATGGCTCAGTCTGTTGTGATTGGTCTACTCTGCTCTGATTGGTCAGATGGCTCAGTCTGTTGTGATTGGTCTACTCTGCTCTGATTGGTCAGATGGCCCAGTCTGTTGTGATTGGTCTACTCTGCTCTGATTGGTCAGATGGCTCAGTCTGTTGTGATTGGTCTACTCTGCTCTGATTGGTCAGATGGCTCAGTCTGTTGTGATTGGTCTACTCTGCTCTGATTGGTCAGATGGCTCAGTCTGTTGTGATTGGTCTACTCTGCTCTGATTGCTCAGATGGCTCAGTCTGTTGTGATTGGTCTACTCTGCTCTGATTGGTCAGATGGCTCAGTCTGTTATGATTGGTCTAACGCTTAGCATGGGTAAAAAAAAAAAGCCCATTACGAAATCTGGCGCTAAAAACAGCATCTTCTCGACATGTCGACAACAGGCCTCAGCTACACCTACAGTGCTTGAAGCTCAAAGTAGACATTGTTCATGGGCAGCCAATGAAGACCATAGGCTTGCATTATGCAATTTTGTTACATTTTTACGTAGGTTTGACAAAAGAAGTGAGTTTGGATATAACCGACGACTCGGTTCAGGCAGTTCAGAATCTTTTTTTTAGGAGAAAATAACTTTATTTGTCGTGCACTTTGATCTTTGAAACTTCACAGTTATGTTACATTCACAAACGGCTATGTTATACACTGCATGAGAGACGTTTAAGATCTGCTGATCCGATGTCCTGACAGAACATCACGTGACAAACTAAGGTACACTGTGTTTAGCATTGAAGGTAAAGATGATGATGATGATATCAAATGAATGATTCTGTTAAACAATGTTCCTGCCAGTTCCTGTTCTCTTTATTGTAAGTTAAATGGATTACCGGATTACTGAGACTCTCACCTATTGTCATTGATAGCTTATTATGGTGCCCCGTTTCCATTCTCTGAATAGTTATGTTCCTATATCTGGGCTTTGTTTAAGGTGCTTTGTCTCTAACTCTATGCACTGCCCCTTAAATGTATATAAAACTACAATGTCCAGATGCCTAGTTGGACTTGATGACTGCAGCATCTTCTCAAATAAAACATCCTGCAGAAGATACAACCAAGTATCCTAGTCTTCACTTCTGAGATTTCCTACAAAGATAATATCCGGAAAAGGCATAATGGGGCACTTTAATGGTAAAGCATCTCATTAGTCGAATAAAAGCAAAGTGGCATTGTTTACTTATTAAACCACAAATGGATGTGACTTTCAGTGTGCTCTGTGTTGCAGTGCTCAGTCAAAGAGAGAAAATAACTCAGCTGAGTATTTTGCTAAATACATGCACTTTACTAAACATTCATTATATTTGTACTTAAGCTGATGCCTTTATTTAATGTATGTTTAATTCAGTTATGAAAATGTGTCTGTTTTTTTATTACCACTACTTTAAAGTTTATTTTTCAACAACAAAATGAAAGAATTGGAGTAGAAACAAAAAAAGTTGATATAAAAACTGCCTTATGTGTAATTTAAATGTTCCAAATATTACAATTATACTATTATAATGTATCCAAATATTGTTATTTATTCACTCAAAATAAAATATTAATATCATTTGTGAAGTGATTGTTTAGAATTTTTTATAAAACGGTTAGTTCCAATCCTTGATTCTGATTGGTCAATAGCTGTGCTTTTTTGACGATAAAACACGGCTATGACCGCTTCACCCAACGGTTCTATTTATCACTGCGCCCTTAGCAACACCCATAGCAACATAGGCTAAACATAGAAAAAAAAAAACGTAAGAATTAAAAAGGCTAAAATGTTTAAATTAAATTTCGATTTACTAGGTGGCATGACGATGGATAAGTGGTTTGAGGAACAATTTGGAGAGACTTCTACAAATACGAACCGTCATGCTGAAGTGCTGAAATGTAACATTGACACATTCGAGAAGACTCGGAAATACGTAATGAAAAAAATACTGTGCCCAATGGGCAGTGAAATGCTTCGGTGACTAGTGTAGTGAAAAGGGTTGCAGCATAGATTTTAAACAAATCACCAAGACGGAACTCAACGCACTTTAATATCCGTGACTTCTACAGAACTGTCAGAAGCTCCACAGGAGAAAAATATGGGATCTATGTAGCGTTACGTGCGGGTCTGAACAGATTCCTGAATGATCCACCTTTGAGTTTGTCCTGGTGTCTGATAAGAGACAGCGAATTCACCTCATCCAATAATGTTTTCGTTGGAGTCATAAAGACAATGAGAAGAGAGGGTCGTGATAAACCGGAGCATCACACCGTAAATTTCAGCACCATAAAACTGTCCGATGCGCTTAATCCCAAACCTGTCACCACACAGTCACCGAAGTATTTCACTGCCCATTGGGTTTGCTGCACGGCATTTTTTTCATTACGAGTCTTCTCGAATGTATCAAATTTACATTTCATCAGCACTTCAGCATGACGGTTCGTATTTGTAGAAGTCTCTCCAAATTGTTCCTCAAGCATCGTCATGCCACCTAGTATAAATCGAAATTTACTTCGATTTATTTACGAAATTTACCTAGTATGAAACGAAACATTTTAGCCTTTTTAAATTATGTCTGTAACATTCTTGCTGCAACAGAAAACACCGCTGACAGCGCTGAGCCCCAACCAAAATATCACCACAGTGGAGCCGATTGAAATGAGACAAATATAAATGCATGCACAATAAACGGAGATGTGTTTTCATTTGCAGTCTTTTCTGGAAAGAAGCTCACCAAAGAAGCTTAACAAGTGAAATGTAACCCATGAGTGAAATATTAGCATTTGTAGAAATGTTAACGCAAACACAGATCCAAAAAGTCCCACATTCCGTCTTTAACGTGAAGTAGAAATGTCTGACCTTGGAGGAGGATGCAATGGAGTAGTAGCGGGCCTGCAGTCGCGGCAGGAGCTCACAGAGGTGGTCAATGGGAGGACGCAACGACGGCAAATCCTCTAGAATAGCCAAAATATTCCTACTTGAGTCCAGCACCCAGCTCTGGTACAATGCCTGAAATATGACAACGACAATGTCACAAACACTGTTAGCTATTGCACAACAACAACAATTACAATCTGTCCCACATTGCATTTGCCTCCAACAAGACTGATTAGACAAAACTGATTAGGTAAGACTACAGTCTATCACTTAATGAATCAACAGTCAATCTGCTAATCGTGTTCACCATTAAACATTAATTAGATATATATTTAGATATATAAGTGGCTTTCAGTACTATGTACTTGCATCTAAAAATAAGTACAATGTGAATTGTGTTGATGTTGTATTGTAAAACACATTGCTGCTATTGAGGTGTGAAATGGGCAAGGTTAGGGTCAATTTATTTATTAATTACATAAATTAGTTACAGGTATTTTTAAAATATAAGTACAATGTAAAAACATGTATGTAGACCATTGTATCAAATTATGAATGTTAATGTTATTAAGCCACTTAATATAAAGTGGGACCAAAAGGCTTGTGAGTTTTTTGTTGCACATAGAGGGATTTATTTGGTAAATCCTCCGTAGTTTATGCGCATTTCTTCTAATCGGGAAAAGTTATTAATATTAGAATTTATGCGCATTTGCCGCTTCCATTCAGCTGTGTTTTTAATACAATATCAAAATGTGCATAAAATAGGTGGATGGAAACATAGCTAGTGATGCTTGCCCCACTTTTGCAACAGTTGACCTGTTATCGGTAACACTATAACTCTACTATTGTCATATTACAACAATGTGTTCCTAAATGATTGGTGTAAAACAGAGTGCAATTTATATTACGGCTTGCAAGCGAGTGAAATGTTTATTGTCTGGCGAGCTGTAAGCCGTTTTATGTGATTTGGCTCGATGTGTGCCTTTGGCTCTGGTGACGGCGATGCTTACTTTGCCCTCGGGTGAGGAGGAGGCCATTTTCCGCATGTTCTCCTGATCTTTGGGGTCAGTGGCATATTGTGCCATTTCATAAAGCACGTTTGTGCGTGGAGTATTCGTGATGTCCAGGTAGTGGGTCAGGGCGGTGCGGTACGTGGTGGGGCAGGGGAAGGGGTGCTTCTTATTGGACTCCTCTGAAAAGAAATACACACACACACACATATATTTTAGCTATGTTGACATGAATGAACTGTTCAAGTTGAACTTTTAAAGGTTAATGCCATACCATCAAGGTTGTTGAGGGAGATAACAATGTCAAGGTCCACACCAAGGATCTCACCAATCCTGTTCACTATGGCTGTGTCGTTGATGGGATACACAGCAACATGGTCTCCTGATTCATATCTGCACATACAGTATAAAGGAGCAATTAGTATAACACTAACTGAAACTCATTTTGCCAATAATAAAAAAGGCTCCATTTAAAAATGAAATACACACGAATTATTTGTATTCCACATTTTGCTACTTACCCTCGTACACACTGATTATCAAGCGAATGCACTTTCTGTACAATCTTTACAAAGAAATTAAATCAAAGGTCCAATTAGTCCATTAAAAATAACAATGATTTGCTAGTAGTGAATATATTTTACTTCTACTTATAATTGATTTATAATGCTTTATAAAAGGTTCTCACACTGTAATGCAATATATTAGTGTCAACTACCCGTTTACCTATTCATAACTACACATTCAACAGGTCATGAAACCACACTTATTTTTTAGATATTAACCCACATCATTGAGAACAACATCACAACTTATTTGCAATATCACAAATCACGCAATGTGAGATCACACAGTGTGAGATCATGCACGCAGTGTAAAGATCACGCAGTGTGAGATCACGCAGTGTAAGATCACTCACTCAATGTGAGATCACGCAGTATAAGATCACGCAGTATAAGATCACTCACACAGTATAAGATCACGCAGTGTGAGATGACGAAGTGTGAGATCACGCAGTGTAAGATCACGCAGTGTGAGTTCACGCAGTGTAAGATCACACAGTGTGAGATCACGCAGTATAAGATCACTCACACAGTATAAGATCCCGCAGTGTGAGATGACGAAGTGTGAGATCACGCAGTGTAAGATCACGCAGTGTGAGTTCACGCAGTGTAAGATCACTCACACAGTGTAAGATCACGCAGTGTAAAGATCACGCAGTGTAAGATCACGCAGTGTAAAGATCACACAGTGTGAAGATCAGGCAGTGAGAGATGATCACTCAGTGTAAGATCCCGCAGTATGAGATCACGCAGTGTAAAGATCACGCAGTGTAAGATCACACAGTGTAAAGATCAGGCAGTGAGAGATGATAACGCAGTGAGAGATGATAACGCAGTGTAAGATCCCGCAGTGTGAGATTACAGTGTGAGACCACGCAGTGTAAGATCACGCAGTGTAAAGATCACACAGTGTAAAGATCACGCAGTGTAAGATCACGCAGTGTAAAGATCCACGCAGTGTAAGATCACGCAGTGTAAGATCACGCAGTGTAAGATCACGCAGTGTAAGATCACGCAGTGTAAAGATCACGCAGTGTAAGATCACGCAGTGTAAAGATCCACGCAGTGTAAGATCACGCAGTGTAAAGATCACGCAGTGTAAAGATCACGCAGTGTAAGATCACGCAGTGTAAGATCACGCAGTGTAAAGATCACGCAGTGTAAAGATCACGCAGTGTAAGATCACACAGTGTAAAGATCACGCAGTGTAAGATCACGCAGTGTGAGATAACGCAGTGTAAAGATAACGCAGTGTAAGAACACGCAGTGAGAGATGATCACGCAGTGTGAGATCACGCAGTGTGAGATAACGCAGTGTAAAGATAACGCAGTGTAAGAACACGCAGTGAGAGATGATCACGCAGTGTGAGATCACGCAGTGTAAGATCACGCAGTGTAAGATCCCGCAGTGTGAGATCACGCCGTGTGAGATCACGCCGTGTGAGATCACGCAGTGTAAGATCACGCAGTGTGAGATCACGCCGTGTGAGATCACGCCGTGTGAGATCACGCCGTGTGAGATCACGCCGTGTGAGATCACGCAGTGTGAGATCACGCAGTGTAAGATCACGCAGTGTAAGATCACGCAGTGTAAGATCCCGCAGTGTGAGATCACGCCGTGTGAGATCACGCAGTGTAAAGATAACGCAGTGTAAGATCACACACAGCACCTGATTTTAGAGCCAGTGATGTCCAGCTCCAGGTGCATCAGATGCCTCTCGCCGCCCTTGTTCAGCTTGCGGTTCACAGTGACTGGTGCCAGGAAAGGGTTCTTCGAATCAAACGGCCTGTGAGAACACAATGAATGACACAATGAATAACAGACAATACACCAAGCACACTTGATGGGTCAGAGATGGCACAGAACACAGGGCACAGAGCAGAAATGTGATGCGATCTGGGAAAACCCATCAGATGTCGCGCTTGTGCGTTTTCAGTAAAGTCTAAATATAGATTGAATGTCAGTTTTTTCTGTCAAAATATGGTTTTTATTAAATTATTATTCTTAACATCTTGTTTATCATCTCTGAATATAACTTGGGAAAATTCACTAGTTTAGTGCAGAAAAATAGCGATTTATAATGTACAGCTGAAAAGACTGCGTTTCTCTTTAAAGGGTTAGTACACCCAAAAATGAAAATTCTGTCAGTATTTACTCACCGTCATGTTGTTCCAACCCCGTAAGACCTTTGTTCATCTTCGGAACACAAATTAAGATATTTAAGATATTAAGATCACTCCTGTATACTAGTCCATAGGCTTCTTGAGGGAATGACACTTGCTGTCCTCGAAAAGTCATTAAAGACATCGTTAAAATAGTCCAAGTGACTACAGGGGCTCAATCTTAAGTTTATCAAACGACGAGAACACTATTTGTGCGCAAAAACAACAAAAATAACGACTTTATTTCAACTATTCGTTTATTTCTCCCTCTGCCTCGAGTCAGGTTACTAGTTTAATAGTGTAAGCTTCTGTCATTGTACGTCACACGCATCACACACATGACCAGCGTCGGCCAATAGTGAGCCTACGTGTGACGTAGCTCTACACAATCACACTACGTTAACGGACTACAGGCCGATAGATAAGGAAGTGAATAGTTGAAATAAAGTCGGTATTTTTGTTTGTTTTTGCGCACAAAAGTGTTCTCGTCGTTTGATGAAGTTAAAATTGAGCCTCTGTAGTCACTTGGACTATTTTAACGATGTCTTTAATGACTTTTCGATGCCAGCAAGTGTCATTCCCTCAAGAAGCCTATGGACTAGTATACAGGAGCGATCTTAATATCTTAAATATCTTAATTTGTGTTCCGAAGATGAACGAAGGTCTTACGGGGTTGGAACAACATGAGGGTGAGTAAATACTGACAGAATTTTCATTTTTTGGTGTACTAACCCTTTAACAACACGCACATAGGCGGAGGGGGGAAGCACAAATCTCCCATTTAGCTCTCCTTCTTTTAACACTACAAAGACAGTTCACCTATCAAAATAAACCACATAACAGAATAAAGTCCAGTCCTGGATGAACTACAACGGCATGCAAGTTATTTATTTATTTTTATCCAGCGTTATCATGTGGTTTGATGCGGCGCACAAGAGAACAACAGAGTTTGAAGCTGCTCCGATTTCAAAACGGTTTTCACAGGATGAATTTTGAGTTCGTAAGCTTTCGAATGATACCTAATCTATGATGATTACTAAAATATATGATATGAAAAAAAGGCAATAAAAAAGGGAGCGCCAGTCGTCCCGCTAGCAGGACATGACAGTTAATTAAACCTGTTTTTCTCAAAATTCTGTTTCTGAAAATCACAGCGATCAGCCGACTTCAGATAACCATAACTTTTGATACAGACGACCGATAAAATGAATAAAAACAGATTTAGAAAGGGCTTGAACGTGGTGGGTTTTCCCAGATCGCATCACAAATGCCACCACAAGTGACACCAATTGACCTTATGCACAGCAGCACTACTTCCTGAACTTAAGCCAGCTCCTTGTTTCCTGTCTGCCATTATTGGCCGAACTTGATTAATTCAGGTGTGTCTGATTATTGTTGCCGTGACTACTGAGGTCAGGCACACCTGGGTTAATCAATTTGGCCAATAATGACAGACAGGAAACAAGGAGCTGGCTTAAGTTCAGGAAGTAGTGCTGCTGTGCATAAGGTCAATTGACCCGACATTTAAAAATGAGGTGGCAAAAATGTCATTTTTTGTGCAATAGTCCCCCCACCCCCCACCTATTTTACAGTATTCTATTTAATAATAATTATATTATCATATTATAAGAATCTAAATATGTCATATCTAGTTATGAGTTAGTACAGACACTACATTGGCCTATAGCAACTACACATCTGTATTCACTGTCTCAGAGATATTACATTTTGTAAGATGGCGTGTGAATACCCTACGCAAGCGAATGAAGCCATTGTTCAAAGTAATGAGCAATCCCCCATGCAGATGATTGATGGCTGGACTACTTTAACAACAAACCTTCCGCCATGTCAGTAATTCACTGGAGTAACATCAGCGACAGTGAGCTTTACAGTGTCTCAACCCAGCCTCTAACACAAGGAACTTTTGCCTGTGGTTTAAAAATACCAGCAAAACCAACTAGCCTAACTAATATAAATGTCAAGCATTATTAAAGACAAGTAAATACTAAAAAGTTAGCAATCGCAACATAAATACAACTAAACAAGTATACTATTGAAATAAACAGTGTTTTAAAGGGGTCATGAACTGGCTTTTAAAATTGTATTATATTGTTGTCCGAGGTCAACTTAAGACGTTCGCTTGGTTTTTACATTCAAAAACATCAAAATGAATAAGTAATAGGCTATTGTTAGCCTACCTGAAAAACGGTCGGTTTTTATGGGCGTGTCGCACTGAAGACTTGGAAATAAACGCCCACTGCTGTGAGTGGATAACAGTTTTGCATATTATAATGAGTTTAACGTACCCGTCGGTGTATGTGGGGGAAAACGTCCAATGTTGTCAAATGGCAACCGGATTCGCCCATACATATTCAACCAAGAGTCCGTGTGTTGCACAATTCCTGTCCAATATAGACGGCACAGCACGTTCTTTACTCTTAATCGGTCTGCAAATCCAGTCTTGTTTATAAAACAATCCTCTGTGAAATGAAGCGAACAGACGACGATGTTTTACCCTCATCAGCTGGAACGTCATTAAAAATAAAGTTTATCCATGAAGTCCGATTGGAATCCAGAGGAAGCTTATGCAGCGACTGTCTTCTTCCACAACCAGGCACTGCACAATATTCTGTATTGCTTGTTAGATCGATCCGGTTTGTCATCACGAGGTAGGCATGTATGTTAGGCTACTTAGCTATGCGTGTAATGCGCGAATCGGTGGGCGGGGCTAAACCGGCCGTGTTGAAGTAGGTGTTGATCTTCTTCTGCGAGGGTGGTGTTTTAACCCTTCGACGTCATAGTTTCCCACTTTTAAAAACGAGACGTTTTCAGAGGCTGGTGTAAATAAAAGCTTTTATTGGACTAACAAGGACGTTTTCAGTTTTGAAACTTACAGGATATTCTTATAATATGATGACCTCTTAGATGTCAAAAGCTCAAGGAAAATTTGATTTCTCAGTTCATCACCCCTTTAAGATTTTCAGATATTCAGGTTCAGAAAATAATTCAAGATAAAAAAAATCACTGAACTTTATAAATAAAATAGGGCTGTGCAAAAGTTAATTGCGATTAATCGCATCCAAAATAAAAGTCTGTGTTTACATAGTATATTTGTGTGTGCTGCATATAATTATGTTGTATATATAAATACACACACATGCATGTATATATTTAAGAAAATGTGTTATTCCTATATAAAATATTTATATTTATATAATATAGATTATGTATTTATATATATATACAGAATTTAAGCGCAAATAATTCTTAAATATATACATGCATGCATAGGTATTTATATATACAAAATAATTATATACAGCACACTCAAATATATTATGTAAAACAGACTTTTATTTTGGATGCGATTAATCGCAATTAACTTTTGCACAGCCCTAAAATAAAATAAACAAATAGAAAAGTTATTGTTAAGAACAAGTGCATTTTCTCTTTATATTTTTTTGATTGATTGTTATTATCAGCAGGAATATCAGGCTGCAGTCAGAAAACAGATTTGAATGGTTTAAAATCATTTTGAAATGCTTACAAAGGAGTCAATAAGAGGAATCGCAATTCAAATTTTTACAACAAGTATCCAATTCCTGACCTCCTGCCGTTTTTCACATGGGTCAGGATTTTGGGCCGAAATAACCGGAATCGCAGATTAATCCGGAAGAATCAGATCCCTGCTCAGTGAATGAATTTGACCTTTAACAGCCATTATTGAAGAACGCAAATTTACTTTGATAGATTGATTCAGCGGGTTTTGCTTGCAAAGTAAACATGCCCTCATAAAAGCCATTAGAGACATGCCCCTAAAAAATCCATTTCAAGGGGTAAATATTAACCTTTAATAAAAACTGTATTATGGTCTATATTATATGGAAAGTATCAAACATGTCTGTATCCAATCAAATTAAGCACAGCAGGAGTGTTTGTTCTGTCGTCAAGGTGAGGGAGATATTTAAACATGTGGGAGGAGCTTAAGCTTCTGTCTGACTGACGGATGAGAAAACGGTGCTTTACTCACGGCTTCTGGTTCTCAAAGCTCTTGAGGCGTCCCAGCTCTCCAGTGTAGACCTTATTCATGTTCAGATCGCTGTGTACCTTCAGCTCGTACTGGCGGATGCTGAGAGAGACAGAGTGTGTGAGACAAAGACAGAGTACAACCCAGCAACTGTTACTTCACAAAGCCAAGAGTTTTGTGACAAGCTATTCTTCAGTTTGTCTACGGAGCAGTGTTTTCTAGTCTGAAAAGGCCGGTTAATTAAGCAGAGAACGGCATGTTGAGCTCAGGTCACTGTGACCCACCAACAAAGAAGGAAAGACAAACAAAAGCTCCTGAAGAGATGGACAGATCATTGAGGTTTCAGACCTGGATTCTTCACCAGTTGCTTCAACTCCGAAGTGTTCACAAACAGCTGGCCAGAACTGCTCTCTCCACGACACAAAATCCTCCTCGAGACTGACAGAGAATCAATGACAAAACATGCATTATAAACCTTTTTATTTTACATCAGCTGCTCCATGGGTTTGCTTCAGGACGCAGATGTTATATTGCACACCAAGAACTTATTGTTCACTTTTAAAAAAATTTTTTGCTGATAATTTACTCACCCCCATGTCATCCAAGATATTTCTTTCTTCAGTCGAAAAGGAATTACGTTTTTTTTAAAGAAAACATTCCAGGATTTTTTTCCATATAATGCACTTCATTGGGAACCAAATGGTTCAAGGTCCAAATGAGAGTTCCCATTGAAGTCCATTATATGGAGGACCAAAAACATTAATTTCTTTTCGAGTGAAGAAAGAAAGACATGGTCATCTTGGATGACATGGAGGTGAGTAAATTATCAAAAAATAAAGCGTTATATTTGATTTATTCTGTATTTTTCTGAAATCGTTATTTCAGTTAAAGTTTGGTGTTTCCGCAAATCTGTGATCAGGATAGATCATGGTTCCCAACACTCACACGAATGATATTTTCACAAATCATTCTATTATCACTGTTAATTATTTATCAGCTTCAAAATAACAAGGAATGTTGTGTTTGGCATTAAAAGTAATGGTAAATTCATTTTTTCTTTTAAAATGTAGAGAAGTAAAAACATTCAAAGTGAGCATTATAATCTCAGACAGAAGTGTTTAAATGAGTCACTTACTTTCCATCGTCATCTCCCATTCCCAGGTCAAAGATCCTCTGCGCTCCCAGCTCTGCTAGCCTCTTGTCCACATACTTTCCCGTGGCGTTATAGTGTTCATATGTCTTGTTGCCCAATGCAAAAACCTTAAAAATAAGTTTTAGAAATGATTTATACAAATAGATTAATATTAACTGTTCTATACTGTGTATACATCACGTTCATGGCTTCACTCACACCTGGTTTTAAGATCACAAGTAGCCAGCGCTAAATACGAGTGCTAATGTGGTCCAGAACCTTCTGAATTGAAAATTGAATTAAGACAGAAACATACATGATTATTACACTTCAGTTGTAGTGTTATTTTTTGCAGATCAAAAGATTTAGTTTTTAACTTTTTGGGGGATTTAACAACATTGATGTATGTAGTCACGAAATCATCCTGCTTTTGAAATCAGATCAAAAGTTCATCACAAGAGACCATTTAAAGGCGAATACTGTAACCTTTCATTTAAAACGTTGTGTTGTGTCATGGACAGACAAATTAAATGAACATCTTTTAATCATATTCTTTAATCTCTGGATTCCTTGCTTTATAGATCAAGTGAACAAGGCCAAAAAGACAAACAGAAACAATACATATAAAAATATAAACTTAAACCACACACATCAAGATTTATTAAAAAGCTATTTTTAATATAGGCCGCGCGCAGACGGAAGTGTAAACTTGAAGTCTAGAACACAAAAACTTCAGCTGAATAGCATCATGTCGAGAAGACGCTGTGTTCTACAATGGAAAGATAGTTCAGCCACTTGTTTTCATTGTCCAGGGACGAGCATGTGAAGAATCGGTGGTCAGAGTTCATATTTGCAACGATACCACAACAGTATAGACAGTGTTCTCATCATTTTAATGACGAATCATTCAAAAACATAAATGAATTCAAATGTGGATTCGCGAGCGGTTGTTCCTGAAGGAGGGCTCAGTATCCCCACAGTGTATATGGATATGGATCAGTTTTCTCCTCCGAATCACAACCTGTAAGTATTATTAATAATTGTTGCTTTTATGAGTTTTGTAGCGTCGGGGCGCGAGGAGGGAAGGCGCAATAAGTGTGTGTGTGTGTGTTTGTAAGTTACGCTCAGCGCAGCTTCTAGGTCTCCAATGTCATTTTTTTTAAATATGTGAAATGTTTGTCGCTGTTATTGGAGTTGTCATAAAGAATTGAGCGTCTTGTAGTACTGCAGTGCTTTATCAATATGTTATGCGTTAAATATAACAAACAATAACTGACTGGGTCATCTGACCAATCACCGCCGATTAGCGTCACGCAAAGGAGTGGTTTGGAAAAATGAGTCGTTGTACGAATCATTTGGGAGTCGGTGAGCAAATCAGGTATAAATTAATGCATATTATAAGACAACCAAAGTGTTTTTTGTCATTGTATTCATGTAAAACTGTTGTTGGGGACTCCCAGAACAATATTAGGAACATTTTAAATGCCATAATAGGTGCCCTTTAATGTCAACGTTCTCTGGTATTTTCCATAAACGTGTATTTACTATCACAATGGTTAGCTTAAGTAGCCTTTAGCATAACATATAAATATATTTCTGCCCCATACGGTGATCAGAATCCCCATCGGATCGCAAGGAGGATAACACCAGCTGGTGTCTGAAAGCGCGTTTTGAGCTGAAAATTGTTTCGAATGTCTTATATGTTGAGAATAGCTGGTATGACCTCAGGTAAACTCCGCCTCTGTTCATGGCCACACCTCAAGCCCCAGTTGGCCTGATTTGGACCAAGGTACTCGGCGGGCCAAAATCCCAGGCCATTGGCCTAAGGAATACCCCGCGAGGCCCGATCAAGCTCCTGAAGTGACAGTGGAAACACGACTGGCCCCGGCACGCACTAGCACAATCGCTCTCGGCCCAACAGTGGAAACATGGCTATTGAGTTTGAAATAACTGGAAGCGGATGACACTGGAAGCCAGGCACATTCAATTACAAATTGTTAAAAGTAAAGAGGATACAAGAGAAACGTAACAGTAAACGGGTTTGGAATGATATGAAGAAGAGTAAAAGAAAGAATTTTCATTTTGGGTGAGCCGTTCCTTTAAATCCACTTGAGCAGAAGTTACACAGTCATGTTTGTAGTTTGTACTTCTGCAAAACCACTGATCATGCTGAGTCACTGTACTTTCCACAACTTCTGTGTAGTATTCATGAAGTAAGCCGTCCAAGACATTGGCTTGTAGAAGTATGACACAACATATTCCCCAGAATCACTTCTGCTCTGCTGCAATGTGTGTCATGGGTCTTGTTTGTTAAGTAAGCATTTGTTGGAAAGTTCCTAAATTATTGGAAATGCATAGTTTTTGGAGTTTTTTGTTAAAACCAAAAAAGCTTCTGTATAACTAAGTGCTTTGCCAACTGTTCAAGCTAAAAAGCTCAGAGCATACAACTAATAAACTGAACCTGACAGGAGGAAGTCAGTGTGGTGTGATGAGGAACTCACTGTGTATTTAACTCCACTGAGGTCCGCATCTCCCTCCTGTAGCCAATCATAGAAGTCTTGAGCATTATCAGTGGGGTCGCCCTCTCCATACGTGGCCATGCAGAAGATCGCTAAAGAGTTTTCTATCTCAGCCAGACGAGAGAGCTCACCCTGGGAATAAAAGTGTGTGTACACCAACACAAATGGGAAAGGGGGGAAAAAAAAGAGCTTGTTGAAGATATAGACAATTTTCAGCCCACAGATGAAATAATGTTTGTGAAGTGCAATGAATAAATCTAGCACTGACAGAGATGACGTATGCATTACCATTTCATATTCTTCCGGGTCCGCTGTCATCCCCTTCATGCCGTAGCGATGAGCGTCTTTTGCAAGTCTATTAGAAAACTCTTCAGCTGTGCCCGTCTGTGAGCCGTAAAACACCACAATGTTCCTGCCCTAGAAGGTCACATTAAACGTCATTATGTATTTCAATGCCTATCCCAAAAGATTGACCAAAGAAAATATTATGAACATGATTTGCACTTCATTGACTTTAAAAAGGGTTATTTTTACATCCAGCAAAGTCAGCATATTCGGAAAAACTAAACAAACTAATATAACTCTCTGGAGAGCCAATAATCTAATCCAAACACATTATGAGGTTAGCTCTTCATCTGTGCCTGCTGGTTGTCTTCCCTCCCCATAATGCAAGCTTTGTCTTCCATATTGTTATGTTTTCTGAGATTGCACACGTGATATTTTTGTTCCATGTTCCATATCTGCTGTTGTGTCTAGACCACAGACTGTAAAGGAATATAGACGTAGTGTCTGTGACGTGAAGCTCATTTTGAAGCCCTAAGTGGGCGGAGGCGAACTCTTTTATAGTTATAAACTAGGTATTAGGGGTCGCCCAGCCCGCCACCCTGCAAGTGTCTGTTAGCGACATTGTGTGCTCATATTCCAGAAGGGCATGGCACACCCTGTGCCTGGTACGCCAAGGCAAAGACATCCAAACTATGTTTTCCCTTTCTGCTGTTCCCCAATCCCGAGAACGAGCCGCTCCCAGCGTCAGAGTAAAGGGCAAGTACTGGACACAGCATCGATAGGCTTCTTCTCGAGGCACCACTCGCCAGTTCACTACTTCATCCCTAAAAGGGTAGTGGGAACATTGAGCACGTGAGAGTGTGCCGGACCGAACCGGAAGCACGTTTAGCTGACAGAAAAGCTCAACTGTACTGTAGACTACAGAGGGAATAAGGCACGGTCTTGGAGGATTTAACGTCTGCCTCCAATGATTATGCTTCCTGAAAGATCTGCCATGCACTGCATTGTGAAGTGATCTCTAAAACATGTTAAAGTAAATTTGAGATGTCTGCTTCCTAAACGATCCAATTATAGGCTAGCCCAGTGGTTCCCAACCTTGAGCCTGCGCGCCCCTTGCCAGAGTTGCCCACCAAAGGCATTGCAATAATTTCCCAAAATGTAATTTGTGTGGAAATATTAGAAGTCTGTAAAGGGGAATGCTAACAGAGGCCAGAGAAGGGACACGCTGAAGACGGGCGCAGAAGAGAGCAGAGAAAACACTGTCCCGGGCAGAGCAAGATCACCGTTGAGATGCTCTGAATACAGGAAGACACTTCTTTACACTAGGCTGGGGGTGGGGGTTTATATGAATGCATTTCACTAAAGTTTTGATGACATTTTCATTTCATATTACCTCTGTATGATCCTGAAACTGAAAGGTTCTCAACTCACAAGCCCTTTAAAGATCTGTTTGTTGACCTGTTTTGTCAGATCATTTTAACATAATAAACTCTACGTTGGAAGAGAAGGGTACAGGTCTTACCGTTTTCTTCATTTTGTCAATAAAACTGGTGTCCCTTGTTGTTGGAGCCCTACAAAACAAAGACAACCAGAAGTCATACAACAAAATGGATTGCAGCAAGTATATTATTAACTATTATGTATACAAATATGGCCAATAAAGATAAAAGTAAAGGAGGAAATTTTGTTAAGGTTTCAAGGACTCCTGAAAACACTGTGAATCAATGTGTGCCGAATAACAACAGATAGACCTAGCGGTTGCCAAAAAGACCACATTGATTTGGAATTTATTGTCCTTTACACAAGAGTTTTAAGAAATATATGAGGTCTATTCCAGGTTCTAGAAAAGAACTAGAAAAAAGTGCTCACTCACACACTCATGTCATTCACAAGAAGCGCCAATATCCGAGCAGCATCACGTCTGAAGCTATCACCAATTATTATAGCAGCCAGATTAACGAGTCTACACACACTCACCTAAAGGATTATTAGGAAGTTTGAACACCATACTAATACAGTGTTTGACCCCCTTTCGCTTTCAGAACTGCTTTACTTCTATGTGGCATTGATTCAACAAGGTGCTGAAAGCATTCTTTCAGGGCACAAAGCTCCCGTTCCACTACATCTCAAAGATGCTCTATTGGGTTGAGATCTGGTGTACAGTGAACTCATCGTCATATTCAAGAAAGAAATTTGAAATGATTCCAGCTTTGTGACATGGTGCATTATCCTGCTGGAAGTAGCCATCAGAGGATGGGTACATGGTGGCCATAAAGGGATGGACATGGTCAGAAACAATGCTCAGGTGGTGCTTTGGCATTTAAACGATGCCCAATTGGCACTAAGGGGTCTAAAGTGTGCCAAGAAAACATCCCTCACACCATTACACCACCACCACCAGCCTGCACAGTGGTAACAAGGCATGATGGATCCATGTTCTCATTCTGTTTACGCCAAATACCATCTGAATGTCTCTACAGATATCCAGACTCATCAGACCAGGCAACATTTTTCCAGTCTTCAACTGTTCAATTTTGTTGAGCTCTTGCAAATTGTAGCCTCTTTTTCCTATTTGTAGTGGAGATGAGTGGTACCCGGTGGGTTCTTCTGCTGTTGTAGCCCATCCGCCTCAAGGTTGTGCGTGTTGTGTCTTCTTCACAAATGCTTTGCTGCATACCTCGGTTGCACCAAGTGGTTATTTCAGTCAAAGTCGCTCTTCTATCAGCTTGAATCAGTCGGCCCATTCTCCTCTGACCTCTAGCATCAACAAGGCATTTTGGGGACTGCCGCATACTGGATGTTTTTCCCTTTTCACACCATTCTTTGTAAACCCTAGAAATGGTTGTGCGTGAAAATCCTAGTAACTGAGCAGATTGTAAAATCCTCAGACCAACAACCATGCCACGCTGAAAATTGCTTAAATCACCTTTCTTTCCCATTCTGACATTCAGTTTGGAGTTCAGGAGATTGTCTTGGACCAGGACCACACCCCTAAATGCATTGAAGCAACTGCCATGTGATTGGTTGATTAGATAATTACTGATAAATTGAACAGGTGTTCTTAATAATCCCTTTAGGTGAGTGTATAGCATGCATGATGTTTTAACATCATATAAAGATTTTGGCAGACAGGCCAACTGTTTTTTTTTCTTTTAAATGTTGATATTTTTGATCTTTTAATGTTGATTTTTTTCCTGCAAGTTTTCATTTGAGTGTTCAATAAATAAGTATATAAGACAAATGTCAAATATAAAATAATTAGTTAAAAGTAAATGTAAAATAATTAATAAAAGAACTATACAACAATTGTTGAAGAACAACAGAAGAACAGGATAATAACATGTAACCACACCATCATCTCTTATTCAACTTTCATCTAGCTGTATTTACACTTATGCATCTCGACACTGAGATTCAGGAAAAGAGCAACCTTTGAGTATTTACAAATGTCACCCATAAGAACCCTCAACACACACACATGCACGTGCGCACACACAAAACAATTGTTAAACAGTTCAACAGAGTGCAGTGAATGAAGAAAGCGTGAGAGACTTTTCTCTCTGTAAAAACTCTGGGCTCATGGCCAACTATTACACAAGGATGTGAACAGAGGGATTTAATGTGTGACAGCTACAGTTTTAAATATACTTTTGTCTATTCAACAAGAGAATGCTTTAGCACTTTCATTAATGCTGGAATTAAATCACCAGTACTTCTGGTCTACACATGTAACTGTTAAATCTATGGAGCTGATGTTATTGATATGTAAAGAAATCAAAGCTTGAACAAGAAGTCATTGCTGTTATATAATAACAAGCTGCCCCACCAAGACAAACACATGTGCCTTACTTACTCTATAGGGACTGAAATACAATGCTCTATAGGATAAGATGTGTAACGTTTTAGATGTTACATCTTCGCCTCTCCGCTCTGGGTGTCATGTCATGACTATTACAGTAAACACTCACTCACCTGTCTATTGCGGCCAGCCGGTCCTCCGGTAAGGAAAACACACACCCCATGGTGACTAGAAGCACGTCCAAGAAAACTGACCGCAAAAGACAAACTCGTCGACAAACCATTAACTAAAGCGCACGCTGGAAAAACAAGGCACCGCCATGGGTAAGAGGGAACATCTGTTGTACATGCTGGAGAATCAGAGGCTTCCTGCTCACACAGACGGAGAGAAGGAGACACAAGACCAGAGCTCTGATAAAGAGAGCAAAGAAACCTTAATGAGGGCCTGAAGGAGAGCTTGAATGGGATTGTGTGTGAAGGAGTTGATCCCAGAGTAAAGCAGCACTCGCGAGAGGCTTTTACGACGTCCCTCCTCCATCACGAAGCTCTGCAGACGGACACAGCTACTGACTCTCTGAACCAGCCTCATGTCAACAGGGTTCAGTGCTCATATCCTGCAGAGTATACTATATACATATCCTGTTAGACTACAGTATGTTCACTACGGTCTCAAACACGAGCACCAGCAACATCTGGACACCACAAAGCGGGACTCTGATGAAATCCCATGCGTGAGCAGCAAATCTGAAGCATTCGGACAAGCCAAAACTCATGTAAACACAAGGAGAAAGTGATTAAGGTCTGTTGGTTTCTTATTGTTCTTCATCCTCTCGTCATCCCGGAGAAAAAAAGACGCACAATCAGCCAACGCAGGACAACCCTGTAGCCGTGGCAACCGCTTTGAAAATGACAGTTGACTGTTTTGAAGACGGCGAATGAGTGCGGTTGGGCCCTCCCTCCAGAGAGCAGGATCGCCATGGCAACCACATCTATCATAAAAGCCGGATCCTCCGGTGACAGGCCAGGCACAGAGAGCAGCGAGACAAATTGGAAATGGTTTCCACATAAAGAGAGAGAGAGAGAGAGAGAGAGAGAGAGGAATAGGGTGAATATAATGGAGGGCTTGTGTTCTGCCTCAACTTTCCACCTTTGGAAAGCTCAGAGAAAGACTTGGCTGGCCTTGCCAAATACAAACCCCAATTGACATGAGACTCTGAACAGATATACATACTTTCATGAGCACAACATTAAAGTAATATAACAGAGAGAGAAAGAGGACATACCGCCATTTCGTACAGACTCCATCGCAATGAAAACAATTATTAAGTTAAAATGTTCGTGCAGGGTTGCTGCACATTTTTTAAAGTCGAATTTAAGGCTTTTAAGACCTCAAGAAATCTGCAAATAAGGAACTTCCACGCCTCATGAAGGTTGTGAGAACGAAACGTTGTTAATAAAACATTTTTTTATTACTTGCAAGTACTGATTGAGTACAACGGGAGTTCCTTATAATTTGCAGATTTGTCGACCTACCTATTTAGACTCCTTATTCTACGCACCTATCACTGATGTCATTTGTTATTTGATTAAGAACTAAAGAAATAAAATTAGAACTGTACATTAGGGATGAGCAATATTGACAACAAAAATTATTTCTTGATATTTTCACAATAATTAGTGTGTTTTTGTGCTGGTACAATGCCTGGTTTAGGCCTGTTGTGACTCACAAAGACATTCATATTATTCATATTCTATGCGGTGGTCAGTTCACAGCAGCGACAGATATTACCCTTTTTTTAATAAGGGGCAATATTTGGCACATTAAATTGATTTCCAGTGGCATTTTTACCTAGAAGGGCATTTTCTGAACATTTCTTAGATATATGAATCACTTTATATATCAAATTCTAACATTGAAATGAAATAAAATAATAAAAGTATAGGGTTGTTCAAATGAAATAAAATCATTATCAACAGAATCCATCTTAGCAGTGCAGAGGAGACACAGAAGTGGAATCAGAAGTGGCATTAATATATTGACACTGCATTTACATTTAAATGACGCAATGATGCACGTTACACTGCACAACGAAGCTCTTACTGTACATCATCGTGTTTGCATTGGTGAAAGCATTAGATAAAGCAGAAACTGCGTTACACTATACAACGAAGCTCTTACTGTATGTACATGATCGTGTCTGCATTGGTGAAAGCAGAGAGAGCAGAAACTGTGTTGCAATAAGATCTTCATTCTCGCGATCGACAGACTGTCCTCTATGGAAGCTTGTTTCCGCCACTGAATAAAAAAATAAAATAAATAATTGCGACTTTTTATCTCACAATTCTGACTTTTTTTCTCACAATTGCGAGATAAAAAGTCAGAATTGCGAGATATAAAGTTGCAATTGCGAGTTATAAAGTCAGAATTGCGAGACATAAAGTCAGAATTGCGTGATATAAAGTCGCAAAGCGAGTTATAAAGTCAGAATTGCGTGATATAAAGTCGCAATTGCGAGTTATAAAGTCAGAATTGTGTGTTATAAAGTCAGAATAGCGAGATATAAAGTCAGAATTGCGAGATATAAAGTCAGAATTGTGTGATATAAAGTCGCAATTCTGAGAAAAAAAGACAGAAGTGTGACTTTTTTTCTCACAATTGCGAGTTTACATCTCGCAATTCTGACTTTATAACACATAATTGCGAGTTTATTTGTCGAAATTCTGACATCTTTTCTCAGAATTGTGAGATATAAACTTGCAATTGCGACTTATTAGGCCAATTCTAAGGGGAAAAAAAGACTAACTTTTTTCCCCCTCAGAATAGTTTAAATCTCACAATTCTGACTTTATATCTCGCATTTCTGACTTTATAACTCGCAATTGCGACTTTATATCACGCAATTCTGAGAAATAAAGTCAGAATTGTGAGATATAAACTCACAATTGTGAGAAAAAAAGTCAGAATTGTAAGATAAAAAGTCACAATTCTTTATTATATTTTTTATTCAATGGCGGAAACAAGCTTCCATAGTCCTCTGCTGGTCAGTGCTCCTCACAGCAACATTTTATGTGATGAGAATCTAAATACTTCAAAAAATTCTCACAATTCAGTAATCTCAATAGCTGTAATAGTAAAAACGTATAATAGCTGTAGTGAAATTATTCAAGAGAGTTTCACATGTAATATGTAGCTATTTCATATCCAAGCATGTCAGCCAATCACAGCAGTGGGTGGTTACATTGAATCCCACAGCAGACACGCCTTTTCAAACAGAGCCTTCAAATCAGGCTAGGAAAAATGCCTTTTATTTCTAAATTAAGACTATTTTTTATCTAAAAAAACATACAAACATTATACCCAGGAAACATTATAAAATAATAAAATAACCCCATGTCAGGGGACCTTTAAATCCAGGCTATTGGTTGACAAAACATTGATTAAAATGCGTTGCGGGAGCGACAAATCTCCGACAGTAAACTGATGCCCCATTCTGCTTTATAACGGGCGCTTTTTGGTAAACAGCTGTTGTGACGCGAGCAATAACGGCCGCGTCAGGTGTAGACACAGTGTTAAAGCTCATTCTGCCTATAACGCTACATTACACGACAATAATTTATATAACACTTAAACATTTAGTACATTTTGCTTCCTATTTAAAAATAGTATAAAAGTACTGTACATTTTTTTTATGATATTCTTAATTTTACTTTAGTAAAAAGATCTGAGTTCTTCCTCCACTGGTAGAGATTAGAGGAATTAAGACTAAAAATAGAAGATTTTTGATATGATTATTAATACAAGTTATGTTTTATAAATGTGACTAAATTAAAAGACAAAGTCATTAGTGAAGATTACTCAACAGTATTTATAATAAAATAGCCTATAATCTAACATGCAATGCAAACTAGCTTGGTTACAGCTCAAATGTATCATTCTCATTCTCATTCACCCTGCCTCCATTACATATCTTTGTCACACAGGTGTTTGATCACCACATTTGAGTGATCATTGCAAAACATTCATATATTTATTCTGATTATACTGTGTATTCCATATACAGTACCCATCAAAAGTTTGTACACACCAATGTAAGGAAAGTGTGTCCATACTTTTGACTGGTACTGTACTATAACACACATACATAATATTGCTACTGTATTATAATTTACACATAAATAATATTGGCCGAAATATCGGTATCTGTCTTTTTTTATTGGTATCGGCCCCCAAAAATCCATATCGGTCGGGCTCTCTTTGAACATAAAAGGGTAAACGTTTTTGATATTTTCAGTGTTTTGTACATACACTCTTCAGTCCACACACACACACACAAGCTCAAACATCAGCTAAAAATTGATCTTAAGCTTTACATACACTCTGGGGACATCAAAAACATATTTTACATTCTGTACTTTAACACATTTACATTAACACAAACACACACACACACACACCTTTAACACAAACTTATTTAACTAATTCTGGGACTGAAAGCCTCATTCAATTCAATAATATTCATTTAATTCGTCCATTCCCAAAAACCCAGACATCTATTGTTCCCATAGAATGTACTGACACGTGTTTAAATGCTAGACTTATTTTAATGTGACACAGTTGTTTAGAAACTCCTGCACATCACGTATGTCTGTCCAGTGGAAGGCAACCATTTATTTTGTGTAAACTGGCCATTACTCTAGTAAATTAGAGGACCATATTTAGTGTCATGTTTACTAGTTCAAGTACAGTTTGACTGATTCTAAAATCTCATTTCTAGTTGATTTATAGTGTACATTTATTTTATTGTATATTTTATTGAATAAAAGATGGCTTAAGTTCTGACAATAGTACTGTAGTAACTTGACAGATTAGTAGAATTAGTGAAATTATATCCTTTATCCGACTGATGTTCTTTATTGTTTATTAAAAATGACTATCAATTGAACTGAAATGAAAATATAGCACTTTAAAGAAGGTGATTATACATTCGTGAACACTGAAATATATTTTCCTATTTTTTTTCCGAAACTTTGTCAGTCTATTTGTGGGCACACTACTACATGCACAACGTTTGTTTCAATAGGAATTAATTCATTGGGATTGATGAATGCAAACGTAGAGTTTACACGAACGCTTATGCCACAAGCTTTACACCAGAACTGATTTTTTTTGGACGCACAAATATACAGTTTCCCACTACTGCAACTCTCATACAGTATGTTGCTTATTTTCTTTGATTTTGAGTCCTAATAAGCACATAAACTGGAGTCCCGTACTGCTTAAATGGATTAAGTTGTAAAAACTCCCCAAATGAAATGTGTCTGTGGATGCGAGTATGAGACTGATGGAACATTGAATTTTACAGATGATAGTGGGAGGAGAACTTGAGAATCACATGATTTCATTCAACAGCAACACACTTGCGTCATACACCATTACTACAACATTGCACATGCAAAATACTTTCCAGTTTCAGTTCTCAATCTGCTCAAGCGTTTCCATGTTCTCTCGATCAGATTACAAAAGGTTTAAACCAGGGTTTCTCAACTTTTTCCCTACCGTGACCCACTTTTTTTCATATGCCAGTCATACAACCCACTAAGGCTGGAAATAATTCAATAACTGAAATGCCTCTTAGATATATAGGCTACTACTCCGTAGGCCTGTGTTTATTATGATTAATTTCACAAAAACACAGAACCATTTTCAATAGACAGACTATGAGGCAAACTGATTTTTTTTTTATTTATTTTTTACTTGCGTTAATGGAGGTAGAATTTGGGAAATTGCGACTCATTGTGTGGCACACAAACTAGCTGT